AGTCCCCATTTCTCTCACAAGTGTACATGAAATCCATTGACAAGAATACTCCATTTCTTTGACAAAGGGATATGTCTGGAATCTCTCTTCTCGAGCAGAGCATGAATATTCTATTAGTTTTATTGTAAGGGGTGCAAGATGAACACTAGAACAAACAAGTGTACCTAGTAGGGATGTACTGCAATATTGGCCGAAAATGGTACAATGGGCAAAATACCGATAGTACCACACAAAAAGGGGCCAAAAATGCAGTGCATCTCCAGCGTCCCTCCTCCCAGCTGGCTGCAAGGTTCGGTCTGTGTCCAGGAGGAGAGCTGTCAGGAGGCCGAGCGGGGCGTTGCAGAGAGCTCAGCTCCTGTGACAGGCGGGAGGGGGGCGGAGCACAAACAGTCCACGATCAGTACTGATCACTCATTGTAAATAAGTGAGGACAAGCTGCAAATGAATGAGCAGAACTGCTAAATCTGTTCATTTATGAATGGGAACATAGTAAATATTTACTATCTGGACAGAGGCTGTTCATTCATACCGTCAGCAGAGAGTAAATATTTACTATCTCCAGCTTGTGAATGAACCGAAATCCTCTGTACCGAGCTTCCTGTGCAATGAAGTGCTGGGGCTGCAGAAAGAGAGACTTACGACTCTGTATCCTCAATCTTTTTCCATTTTAAAAAAGGGAAATATCAGGGTTCTGCTTAGATTTTCCCCCAAAGCACCTGACAGTAAGGAAAGAAAAACTAAAACTAAAATAGATCTTACAAATATTAAATAAAAAACGAATTTTTGGTTTCTGCCTGACAATGATTTTTTTTGGTGCGTCTCTAGTATCTAGTCTGTTAGACAGGATAGAAAAAAATAATTACCAACACCTAGAACTGAACCTCTTCTCAAGACACAACCACTAAAATTTACATTCCTATACGTATACATGCCGGTTACACCCGCCCACTGCAGCAGGATATTTACTTTGTGAAGTTAAGGTTTACTTCGAGTGTTTAAGGGCCTGTTCACACGACGTCCGTTTTGTGTGCTGACCGGCTCCGTACGCTGCTGCACTCAAAATGCATCCCAATGTGTTTTATGGGCTACAGTTCTCACGTGCGCAGTCCGTTCAGCTTACGACAGAAAACATACTGCATGTCACATTTTGTCCGGTCTGGAAACGCACGAACGCGCACAAAACACAACGAAAACGCAACGCAATGCAGCTAAGGGGGAAAAAAAAAGAAAAAATTGTATTCTTGCTCCACTTATTATGATGTCATCAACATTGACAAAAAATTAACTGTCAGCATCCAGACCGAAAACGCATAAAAAACGCACTGCATCAGCAGCTCCACGTCTGCTGATCAGCACCTGATCTCATGTGAACAGGCCCTTAGGTTTAATGATTACAAGATATGAACGCAAGTCGACTGGATGCAACATCCTCACCTGAAATACAAACATATGACGGCCTGCAGGGACTGGTCCGACCAGCACTGAATCCAGAACCTGATCATATTCTTCACTTTCTGCTGAACCCACATAAATTATTTTCCACTCCAAATCTGTGAACAGAGACAAAAATCATAAATGCATCATCATGAAAAATTGGAATTGCTGGGAAAAACTAAAACTTGGGGGTAAAAACATCAAAACACAAGCCAGCCCAGTCAGGTATCATCAAGTACTCCAGAGTGAGAGGATTCATTCTAGGGCCATCGATCACTTAACTCTAAAATTGTGACTTGTAAAGGAAATTAAAGAGCGGCCTTTGAATCATTTTGGGTACCATAGCACAGGGCCTCTGCTTTCAGTAAATATATAATTATTGGGGGGCCTAAAATGTGCATTTTAACACTCATGCAAAACAGTAATGTAAAAACAGCTCTGGCAGTGAAAGGTTTAACCAAAAGTGAAGCTACAGTTACCATAGACAAACCCGAGGGCCTACTATAAACATTTTTGAGCTGGACAAGCAACTTCCCAGGGCTAGTTCACACCAGCCCCAGTGCGTTCCAGCCCGATTGATACCGGGCCGCACAGGATTGCATTCTGGCTGGCTCACTTAGTTTTGGGGCAGGAGGGGGCGTGGCGGCGTATTGAAGTGAATGGCACCGCAGCCACGCCCTCTGGCTGCAGTGCGATCGCCCGCAACAGAATGCGCGGCACATCAGTGCCTGCGTTCCGGGCTGGCGCGGTCAGAAAAAATGCTGCATGCACTATATTTTCTGACTGGACCGCAGGTACTGATGTGCCACGCGCTCCAGTGCGGGCAATCACACTGCAACCAGAGGGTGTGGCTGCAGTGCCATTGATTTGAATGCACCGCCACGCCCCCAGGACATAATAGACCTACACAGGGTTAAGTAGTAAGGTTTCTTGGAGCATGAGTAGTAAGTCCAGTGTCTACAACTGATTATTATAAGCCAATTCTAAAGTTTTAATTCTTTTTCAATCTGCAGCTCCCCTTCTCTGAATACTTTTAGTCCTTTCATATAGTTACATAGTTAGCCAAGTGTTGGGAAAAGACGATCACGTTCAACCAAAAGTAAAAACCTCTGCACCATGGAGGGGCTTGTTAGGACACTTCCTGTTATGGAGTTATAGAAACATCCTGTTATGGGGCAACACCTGTTTTCAAAATGTGCTCCCGCTGTCACATGTGCCGCTGGTTGAGACTACTGGCTGCAGTGCTGACACATATTATACACCGTTGTCAGGAATCTGGTCTAGTGCAATAATGTGCAGCCGAGTGCAAAAGTGAGTACATTTGGCAGGAAGAGGCAGAAAAAGGTTTGATTGCTTTGTCTACACAGCAAACTAGCTTCAGGGACAAGCAATTAAGAGGAGCATTTGGTCTTCAAGTAAATTAAAGCAGATGTAAAACCCACCTGAGTGACATTTAGTTTAAAAGAGAACTATGGGGTGAGTGTTTTTCCCCATAGTTCTCTTAAGGGTCACAGGAGGACATATACTAGCGTCCTCCCGTCACCCAAAGCTCAGTATATAGCAGGCTATAGCTTGCGGTATACTGAGACTGCCACAGCCGGGACGGATGCCGACAATGATGTCGAGATCCACCCAGCTGCGTGAGTGATAGATGGCTCTGCCTATCTATAGGCAGAGCCAGTTGTACCCGCCCCCTCCCGTTCCACCAGTCAGCGCTGGATGATCGGAGTGGGGAGAATCCTTGCGAGAAGCCGTGACCGATAGTCACAGCTCTCTGCAGGGAGATGATCGAGAAGTGAGCAAGCGACGGTATGTGTTCTCTCACTTCCCGATCTATTGAGTCGACGTGTGATAGTCTCATTGTCACACGTCGGCTTGAACTATGAGTTCTCCTTTCACATGGGGCATTCCTACAGCAAGAACCTACGGATTCCCAGGTGTCCCCGTTCAGACGTGGCCGCTGTACCCATTGAAATGAGGTCACCCTGTCATTAACCGCCGGGACCAGGAAGATACTTCCCCAACCTCCAGTTCTTGAGGGGAGCATACTGAGGACAGGAGAGCCATAGGCTCCTTCTGCCGTCAAACTGACTCTTGTATGCTGTGCATGCATGGACGGACGCAGCTAGGTGCGAGAAGGCACGCACACGGGTATCTCCTCAGCAGCCGGCTAGCCGACGGTGACACCCTCACAGGACGGAAGGTGAAGGGTTAATATCACTTTAAAACTTGCTGAAATCTGTTTACAGGATGAACATTCATAGGCTGCTCTGCTGACTAGATAGGACACGCTGGCGCCTGTGCAAACCAGACTTAAGATGGTCAGTTAGGCTCTTGTACTGCAATGGATCACTCACCGTCCGGTAGATCTTCTATACATTCAAAGGTGACCTCAAACTGAAAGGGATTATGGAAGGGGCAGGGGTTATCCAAAACCACCATGTTGAGTATCTGCACCTTCGCCATGATGCTGAGGAGGTTGTTTTTACGCACTTCACAAAAAAACTGGAAGAAAACATTGATATTAATATCATCAACAGACAAAACCGGGATCAGTTCATCTACGAACGTTGGAAGCGGAACGACCGCAACCGATTTCACGTCTCCCAAAACAGTTACTTCTAAAGCATGCCAACCGGCAAGGTTGTCAGTGCGCCTACTTCAGCTCTCAACCAAACTTTCAAGCCCTCCAGTGGCTGCTGTTATAGACAAACCTGCACCCAATTTGATATTTTGCCACATGTGCTCCAAGATGGAGACTCTCATAGTTTAGAGTTAGGACCGCACTATATGGAGGTGACCTGGCGCGGCTTTCACATTTTCTGGCTGGCGAGTGTGCTGGGAAACTATTTGCTGTTATAGATGATCACATGTGCAGCACCATGGCAACTGCAATCCAAACAGAGGCTAAGGGCTCATTCACACCAGATCCACACAGGTTTAAAAAGAGAACCGAAGCCAAAAACTTTGGGATATAATTCTCTTTTGGGTCTCAGGAGTAGATTTCCTCCTGTGACCTGCACACAGCAGGCTACTGACCGCTATATGCCGACAACGCAGAGCTGCACAAGATACCCACAATATTGCCCAACCTGTTGTCCGATTGACAGCTGGCTCTGCCTCTCTAAAGCCAGAGCCAGATGCGCCCGCCCCCTCGCCTGGAGCTGCGCCCGCCCCCTCCCAATACTTTTCCTTTAACACAAGGACACGGAGAAAGCAATCGTACTCCATGTGCCCTGCTCACCTCAGGCATGTGCTTTGGGTGTGCCCCGCTCACCTCAGACACGTGCTTTGGGTGCGCCTTGCGCAAACAGCATCATATCTGTCCTGTCCACATCACTGTACATCAGCACGCTGCGGCACACTGGGATGAAACATCATTTTGTGACATTTCAATAAAGTTAACAAAAAAAAAAAAAGGGAGGTAAACAGCGCAATGTTATAACTAAGGACGAGCTTCAGATCAACTATAAGTTGACCGGGAACCCAAACGGTCGGCTGAACAATTCGGCCAGTTTTCCGCCTGTGCCTTAGCATCCAATGATGTTAAGACCGCACAGCGCCATTGGTTGGTTGTCGAGTCTCACAGCGTCATTGGTTGACCGGCGGCCGAGCCGCACAGCGCCATTGGTTGCTAGGACGCAGGTGCACCATAACAACCAATAAGTCTGTAGGGCGAGCAGCATGTTAGCAACCAATGACATTGCGCCGGCTCAGCCACCAGGCAACCAATGACGTTGCGCCGGCTCAGCCACTAGCATTTCAGCAACCAGTGGCGCTGTGCAACCGCACTTGGACTATCACCGAGCCCGTATTTCTTGCGGTGTATGGCGAATACCAGAGGCCGGTTTGCTAGTTTTATTAATGCACCCCCCAACACACCAGCGGAGGACCATCGTACGAAGCATAGCGCACCCCAGCTGGAGCATCTGGGCCATAAATGACGCGTTGGTGCGTTCTTTGTTACAATTTGGGCTGTAAACGCTCAGCCCAACACATCAGAAACGCACAAAAGCGCAGAGCCCCCCGCAAAACCCCCCTATGTGTACGGGGCCACAATTTTGCTCACAAATAATATTTGTTTGGTAAGACCCCAAATACTGAGGGCAAAGTCCCCCCATGTAACAATAGAAAGTGGGGGGGTGGAGGAGATCAGTCCTGGTCACAAAAGCCCGGGACCGTCCCTGGGAAATCAGGACTGCTATGGCTGCAGGAACAATGAAGAGAAACGGAGGCGGCCATTACCGGGTCACCGGCGGTGTGTGGGTCTGTGTCTTCTCTCCCTCAGCTCCTCGTCCAGCCGCGCGCGATCTTTCCCGCTCTGCCGTTTGTCTCCCGCGCGAACTCCCCCTCAGCACCAGCTCGAGCCGCGCGGCCCCGCCTCCTCTCCCCTCAGCCTCTAGGACCCCGCCCACTCAGCTTCGTCACGTGCATCGCACCAGCCGACCAATCCGGACAAGGCGTCACGTAACGGGCTGCGGGGTGACGGGAACGCGCCGTGCCCAAATTTGTTCCGTTTTAGGTCTCGAAGTAAAATTGGCGCATTTGAGCCAGTTTCCAACGCTGCCTGAGAATATTCCTACCGCGGACGTTTTCTATTTAAACTGGCATGCCCGCGGTAACTATGGCCGTCGATTTCCTTTTCGTAGCGATGACGCGTATCAAGGCTGTGAGTGGGCGGGATTATCCTGGTGCGACTTGACGTTCTTTCCCGCGCTCATGCACGGCCGACCAAAGGGGCGGGGTTTCTGTGAGGCGCGACGTCTGTGCGTTCCCGCTTGACAGCAGGCTTCCGGTTGACCCCCGCTCTCAAAACTGTCTCCGCTTGCGGCTGTCGCCATGTTTGGGGAGGGATAAGCCATAGGCGCCCTCTGCAGCTGCAAAAGGGTTTTGTTGAATCCACGATTGATGTTTTACTCGGCACTCCTTCACCTTCATTCAGGCTTTCAGAATAACAAATTATATAATTGAAAGGTTGGCATACCTCCCGACTTTCTGAGCTGACAATGTTTCGGAAACAAGACATGAAGGCAGAGGACGCATCCTTACCACATCCGTTACTAGAGTCATTCAGAATCAATATGCAAAAAATTGGATACACCCCCAAGTTCTTTTTTTTACCCAAATATTTCCTTTATACTGACTTATTTGAAATGCAATAATTTAGCTGAGGTCCCTGGGTGACACAGGATGCTCTTGGGTTCCCTGGGTGACACAGGATGCTCTGGGGTCCCTGGGTGACACAGGATGCTGTGGAGTCCCTGGGTGACACAGGATGCTCTTGGGTTCCCTGGGTGACACAGGATGCTCTGGGGTCCCTGGGTGACACAGGATGCTGTGGAGTCCCTGGGTGACACAGGATGCTCTTGGGATCCCTCGGTGACACAGGATGCTCTGGGGTCCCTGGGTGACACCGGATGCTGTGGAGTCCCTGGGTGACACAGGATGCTCTGGGGTCTTTGAGATTGGGTGACACAGGATGCTCTGGCGTCCCTGAGATTGGGTGACACAGGATTCTCTGGGGTCACTGGGACTGGGTGACACAGGATGCTGTGGAGTCCCTGGGTGACACAGGATGCTCTGGGGTCCCTGAGATTGGGTGACACAGGATGCTCTGGGGTCACTGGGACTGGGTGACACAGGATGCTCTGGGGTACCTGAGATTGGGTGACACAGGATGCTCTGGGGTCCCTGAGATTGGGTGACACAGGAGGCTCTGGGGGCACTGGGACTGGGTGACACAGGATGCTCTGAGGTCCCTTGGTGACACAGGATTCTCTGGGGTCGCTCGGTGACACAGGATGCTCGTCTTAAGTCCATTGGTGACACAGGATGCTCTGGGGTCCCTGGGTGACAGGATGCTCTGGGGGCCCTGGGTGACACAGGATGCTCTGAGGTCCCTTGGTGACACAGGATTCTCTGGGGTCGCTCGGTGACACAGGATGCTCGTCTTAAGTCCATTGGTGACACAGGATGCTCTGGGGTCCCTGGGTGACAGGATGCTCTGGGGGCCCTGGGTGACACAGGATGCTCTGAGGTCCCTTGGTGACACAGGATTCTCTGGGGTCGCTCGGTGACACAGGATGCTCGTCTTAAGTCCATTGGTGACACAGGATGCTCTGGGGTCCCTGGGTGACAGGATGCTCTGGGGGCCCTGGGTGACACAGGATGCTCTGAGGTCCCTTGGTGACACAGGATTCTCTGGGGTCGCTCGGTGACACAGGATGCTCGTCTTAAGTCCATTGGTGACACAGGATGCTCTGGGGTCCCTGGTTGACACAGGATGTTGTGGGGACCCTGGGTGACACAGGATGCTCTGGGGTCCCTGGTTGACGCAGGATGTTGTGGGGTCCCTGGTTGAAACAGGATGTTGTGGGGACCCTGGGTGACACAGGATGCTCTGGGGTCCCTGGGTGACAGGATGCTCTGGGGTCCCTGGGTGACACAGGATGCTGTGGGATTGCAGGGTGGCACAGGATTTTCTGGGACCCGGGGTAACACAGGATGCTCTGGGGTACCTGGATGACACAGGATGTTGTGGGGTTCCTGGGTGACACAGGATGTTGTGGGGTCCACAGGTGACGCAGGATGTTGTGGGGTCCCTGGGTGACACAGGATGCTGTGGGAACCGGGGTAACGCAGGATGCTCTGGGAACCGGGGTGACACAGGATGCTCTGGGAACCGGGGTAACGCAGGATGCTGTGGGAACCGGGGTAACGCAGGATGCTCTGGGAACCGGGGTGACACAGGATGCTCTGGGAACCGGGGTAACGCAGGATGCTGTGGGAACCGGGGTAACGCAGGATGCTCTGGGAACCGGGGTGACACAGGATGCTCTGGGAACCGGGGTAACGCAGGATGCTGTGGGAACCGGGGTAACACAGGATGCTCTGGGAACCGGGGTAACACAGGATGCTCTGGGAACCGGGGTAACGCAGGATGCTGTGGGAACCGGGGTAACGCAGGATGCTGTGGGAACCGGGGTAACGCAGGATGCTGTGGGAACGGGGGTAACGCAGGATGCTGTGGGAACCGGGGTAACGCAGGATGCTGTGGGGTTACTGGGTGACTCTGGGGTCTCAATATGACAAAAGGATAATCTGGGTTCAGTGGGTGACACAGGATATTCTGGGGTCCCTGGTTAAAATGAGATGCTCTGGGGTTATTGGGTGATGTAGGATCCTCTGGGGTCACACTAGTGCTCATGGGTTACAGTCAATGGAAGCACAGAAATGCCGAGGTCACTGGAGACACAGGAGTCACAGAGGACACAGGAGTGCAGAGATCTCTGGAGGTACACGAGCTACTGAGGGCACAATAGTGCCGGAACTCTGGGAACATTGGGGGTCACAGGAGTGCAGAGGACACTAAAGTGCGCTGGGGTCAGAAGCACAGGTACACAGGGTCACTGTAGAGGCGCAGGGGGCGCGGCCGGGGCGCAGTGAGGTGTTACTCCAGCAAGACGTTGCCTAGCCCTTTAACCCCTTCATGACCGAG